GTGGTAAACACCACCTTGGCCTGTTGGCCATTATTGGAGGCAATAAGTGCCCTTTTTAGCCATCCATTATGATCCATATACTGTTATTGTTAGTAGGCTAATTGCAACATAAAAAATAACACCTCAAAAAAGACAAAAAAGCTGAAAAAATCAAAAAAATAAAAAAAATAATGAAAAAATCAAAAAAATCATCGATTTTTTATTTTTTTTTATTTTTTTTTTAAAGTCAAAAAAATCGCCAACCCTGGCATTTAGATTACCTTGGCACTGAGATCAGACTTGAGACGTTTCATGGCGTCAAGGTTGTGAAGGGAAAGTGTAACAAGGCCTTCGTTTGAGTGAATGATGTTCGTGGGGAAGCTGCTGTTTGCAGGCTGGTCCAACTCAGCCATCAATTCCGAGATCTGCTCCTTGAGCGTGCGGAATGTGTGTAGACGATGTTTCTGTGGAAGTGATTATGATATCATTCCACTGAATTCAATGAAATATCATTAAGTCTCCAATATTTTCTAAGAAAATAAATAAAGTGAAATAAGAAAATTCGAAAATAATTCATATGTAAGAAACAAGATATTATTTTGCAGTAATTGAAAAATAGAATTAGAACATTGCAATAAGTATATAAATCTTTCTACCAGTGCAATAATACATTAATTTAGTTTACCTGAAATTGTAATGGCAACTTTGTTCAAATTCAATGGCAAACTTGCAAAACCACTTTGGGATAATTTCAAATCAATCACGGCACCTTTGAAAGCAATGAAAATATTTCCAATCAAAGTTCTTGTTTACCACTTGCAGCCCTCACCTTCTCCTGCGTCAGAGTGTTGATTCTGCGCTGTACGCTGGCAATTTCCTCTTTGCTTGGCACCGTGCCAGCACAAGGAGACGAGACCTCTTCCAGCAACTCAGAACACAATTCCTTTAAGCAAAGTACAGATGAAGTTCTAGACCAAAACTCAATTTGATTGTTTTACACTATTGTAACATGAGAAAAATTTAGTTGAGCTTATTAAATTTATGCAGAATTAGTTACTTATCAATTTAGAACAGGAACAATTTTAATCAGACTAGAGTTGATGGCAAGGACAACTAAACCATAAGAATCATAAAAACAAATATGAATGTGGCTGTATACAGCAATGTCAGAAATTGAAACATGTTAATTTGGGTAAAAAAGTCTTTAGAATATTTCTGATAATAAAAATGTTATGTGACAATTAGTTACCTAATTAATAATTTATTAAAAAATAATCACCTCTTCTTCTTTGAGCAGCTTTTGTAGATGTTTGCGTCTGCTGGAGACCTCCTGCCTGAGGGACTGGAGGCGATGGCTCAGGTGCTGATCCATTTGCAGGAGGGAGAGGCTGTCATTGGTGTAAAGCTCGTCTGCATATACTCCCAGTTCCTGTAGGGAAAACAAATGCTAATGACAGTGTATATAGCATTGATTGAAAAACAATCCATATCTTGGCATGGGAATAGAAAGAACTGAATTTCCCATGGAAATCCACGAGAAATTTTAATTATAATTTTATTATTTTCAGAGATTATATCCACTTAAGGCTCATCACCTGTGGATGGCATTATTGAGTAGACTTCCAAATGAAGAGTATGATTCAAGCAAACATGTCATATATAGGTTTTAAATTACAAAAAAACTAAATACAAATAATGAATATTAGCAAGGTAATAAAATTACTAGTGTTGTTAATGTAATCTAAAACATTTAGACCCCTTTTTATTTAGCTTAGCAAAAAAAAATAATTATAACATAGTAAAAATACTCAACATGAATCACACAATTTGAGAATGTTATCAAACATACCTTTGATAATGTGAAGACTTCTTTTGATTTTTCTTCAACTTCATCAATGAGCATCTTCTTGTGAGCCTTCTCCTCAGCATAAAACTCTCTAACGCGATTCTGTTAAAAGTAGAAAAAATCAATAATAACATATGCAAAGATGAGTGTACAAGTTAAATTTTTAATACATACGTATTATAACAAGAATTCAAATTTAGAAATGTTCAATGAAAAGCTACCACTGTTTAATTAATTGAAGTCTGTTGGAAATTAGTATTGTTAGTTGAAAAGACAAGTTAGTCCCTTGATCACAAAAACTTTCAATGCACACACAGTAATGAATAAACTGTAGTTCAGTCAGAAGACACACACACACAGCTGAAAGCTAAATTCTGTACCTTGAGATCAGCAATTCGTTTGAGCTGATCCGATGTAGAAAATCCAACTTCATTCCATAGCTGATGTAGCTTGGTAAGCAGGCACTGCATATCCTCCATGTAGGATGCCTGCTGTTCCAACAGGGACTCATTGAGTCCTTCATCCCCAACCCTACTGAATGATGCTGACATTTTCTTACATTAATTCCAATTGATTCACTCCAAATATTTCAAACCTCAAATAGCTTGTCCTTTTAAGTTTATTTCCTTAGGAAAGAAAAATAACATTGTCATATTCAATGGGGAATTTGTCTACTTATCATATTAAGTGGTTATTAGCATAATGAAAGTGACACCTTTCAAGTCAGGATAAAGCAATTTGAAGCCACATATGTGTGATATGTTTTATGAATTCTGAATTTAATTTTTGTACAAATATCTAATGTAAAATCATTACAGTGATGATTAAATTGCAGTCATTTTGAATGCAAAAAGTCAAAAGTAAAAAATAACCAGCCTTCAGGGTTGGCATATACCGTGAACCGGGGCTACTCGGGACGGGCGGAGTAACTCGGGACAGTCCTCCAACATGGCGTAAAACTGTTTTAGTAGCAAAACTAATTGGAATATTGTATAACTAAATATAGTGGCATAAACATCAACATTTTTCCTATCTATGTAGTATAAAGGAAGTTCAAAATTACTACATTTACTAGCTTTGCAAAATTCCTGAAAAAAATGGTAAAAAACAATATTTTTAAAAGTTACTTCTGCTAAGGTCTGTAGTAAAAAAAATATTTTGTGCACCAGGCATCATAGAATGAAAAGTAATTGACCTAAACTATGATTTATTTCTCCAAAACATGATGGTTGTCACTAAAACATTGCTTTCTGTTTCAGGTATGTTTTTCATGATCTTTTTTTATAGTAAATTCACTTAACCCAATTAAAATGATGTGAAATTACAAGCCGTTCTGTAAGCTTACAGATACAGAAAAAATGCTATAAGGCTGCTGATATGAAGCTTGCAGTGGACAAGGTAGTTGAAATGCTCAATGGCCTGTTCTTGGATACGGTAATATCGCATCAATAATAGGGTAGGTAATTAATGTATATGGTAATTTCTTATCAATAAGGGAAAAACAAGTAAAAATCACAGAAAATTTCATTTATTCTACCTCTACATCATCTACAATGAAAGAGGAGGACTTCAGAGTACTGTTAGTAATGTATGAGTACACTCTGCATGCTTCAAATGTTTTAAAATTAAGTTTTATTCCAAGTGTCCCAAGTAGCCCCATTTGACGGGGCTACTCGGGACACTTTTTTTGCTAATGGCACCTTACGAATAGCATATGGATTTTTTTTGGAGAAGCCATGCCATAGCCCTTGCAAAGAGTTTTGAAATGAGCCTAAACTTGTTTATGAAATGTTTCATGGTAAGAAGTTATGAATGAAAAATGTTCGAAATTGTCCCGAGTAGCCCCAGTTGACAGTACCATCCAACAGGTAAAAAATTGATGATTTGGAGTGTTTTTTGTTAATAAATGAAACATTTCATAAACGTATTTGGGCTCATTTTGAAGGTCTTTGTGAAGGCTGAAAAAATTTTCTTCTCTGAAAAAATTTTATATGCCATTTGTAAGGTGCCAGACACAAATAAAAGCATCCTGAATTACCCCTGGGAATCTAGGGTGCAGAGGGTGGAGGCAGCGTTGCCAATATATGGGTTTCTAAGCCCAAAGTGTTGCCAACCATTTTCAAGATGCATCACCAGGTAATTTTTAATGAAAAGCCATTTACTCTGAGTAATGAAAAACTATTTACAAGCCACGAACTTATTTACAAGGTTGCATGCACGTGTTACCCCAAATAACTAATTTTACCCTAAAAACAGTCTGATTGTACAGCAAGTGTCAACTGAACATGTGATAAATGATAATGCAGTCTGACCGCTCTAATGTGACTGCAACTATGCAATTGTAAACTTGTTGTTTACATTTGCCTAGGGTATTTTGGCGGGAACTCATCGCAACTGATTTCCGGGCAAGCTTCACTGCATCCTGATCTATCCAACGTACCAGAAAACTTACTTTTTTCTAAATAGTTGGCTGAAGACTGACAAATATATTAAAAGCAAGAATTTCAATCTAAATATGTTGGCAAGATCTTCTGAAGGCATAAATTGTGCTACTGAAGCATTGCCAAAGATCTTGCAAAGTTGCAATATTCATCCACTCTCTGCACAGTGGCTGGAAATGGGGTAATTCAAAACACTTGAAATAAAACTTAATTTAAAATGTTTGAAGCATGCAAAGTGTACTGGTTCATTAGTAACAGTACTCCAACGCCCTCCTCTTCCTTTGTAGACAATGTAGGCCTTGTTGTAGAATAAAGGACATTTTCTGCAATTTCTACTTTTTTTTCCTTTATCGATATGAAATTACTATATCAATCCATTACTGTATTATTGATGTGATATTACCATATCACTGTCCATATGTCCATATCCATCAACATACCATTGAGCATTGACAATGACCTTGTCCATTGCAAGCTAAAGCCTCATATCAGCAGCCATATACTATAGCATTTCTTCTGCATCTGTAAGCTAAAAGGAGTGGGCTTGTAATTTAATGCCATTTTAATTGGGTCAAGTGAATTCACTATAACAAATATTTTTTTCAATATTAAAAGAATTGAAAAAATAATTTTTGTCAGCTACAAATCTTATAACTGATATTTGACACACTTATACCTGTCTAATTGATCTGAAATTTTGCACACATGTGCGAAGTCAGAGGTAATGCACGAATAAGTTAATAGAATAAATAATTTTGAAAAAATCAATATATTAAAAAAATTTATATATTAAAAAATTGAAAAGTAATTTTTTAATATTCAAAAATTAAATGAGAAATTCATTGTACGCACATCTGTAAGATTGGAGACATTGGATTCTTTGGAAGTGTTGTCTTTCAAAAGTAATTTTTAAACGTATATTATTTTAGTTATACTATCATATTTCTTATTATCTTTTGATAGTTAATGTGAGTGACAGAGCGCGCATTTTCTCATCAACAAAAACATGAAGTCACAAACGGAGAGACAGACTGACAGACGGAGACGGATGGACACGACAAAGGCAATTCAGAGGAAATAAATTTTTTTGTGCACATAGTGATAGTTATATTTTGGAACTAAACTGAGCAAGTTAATACAGTGGAATTGAAATTACTTGATTGATCTTCAACACACGAACCATCTATTACTTATTAGCCTATTCAAGTCCCATTCTGAATTTATTAGGGTAAATGCGGTATATTCCGACATCATGGGTAATTCCGACACCTCTCTAGTTTTTCCTTTATATTAAGCTTTGTCTTAGTTCCACGCATTCGTTGATGGTTGAAATAGTGACGTCATACCTTTGCGCACCAAACTATTGCCAAAACACTAGGTTTGGGCCTTCTGGAAGGAAAATATTGAGATCCAAAGAGAGACAGTGCATGCCACCCAGTGAGATCATCGAAAAATGTGTCAAAGTTGATAGTTACCTTGCTCTACCAAATAGTGATAAACTGTTGTGTGTAGAAAGAATATTATGGTTTGATACTTTTAAATACGTCTGTGAATATATTAGGAATCCTTTAAGTATACTTGTATTTGCTGATTTGAAGTGGTTAAATAAATTAATAGATGATTAAGTTAAGAAACGGATTTAGACACATAAAAACTAATTCCGACACAACTTGAATTGGACACACACAGCTCGTTCCAAGCTGTGTGCAAAAATTAAAATTTTCTTAATTAAAAGCAGCTTAATAGCTGTTAATTAAAAGCATAATTAAGTATTGTTCAATATTCAATAGTACACAATAGTGTTCTAATTCAAAGCCCTGTATTATTCCAAATTTCCAATACAGCTCACACAGCAATCGGAATTCGAACACAAGGATGTCGGAATTACGTATTAGTACTTAGTAGAGTTTGAAGCGCGGCCGGAATTCGTCTCACAACGTGCCGACTGCCGAATTTAGTCACACACAGCGTTGGAATATAGGGATTTGGTAGGTTTGCATTCTAAAGGCTTTTAAATAAATATGGCAACACTTTGTGACGTTTCATTGTTGCTGGCGCGTAGTGCGGTGTTGCGAGAGTCACATAAAGCGAAGAGAACTTGAGTAACGCATACAGTTATTTTTTTACAGTTTTTCATTATTCGATGTGTCCTTAATGTGTCGGAATATAGTACCACGTTTACCCTACTTAATGAATCCAATGGTAAGGCAACACAAATTTCAGAATTTATTGCAATTTCTTGCAATTAATGACTCAATGTAGTAAACCTAGAGTGCAGTCTGCATTCTGCAATACTGTCTGAGACACTGTGACAGACTGACAGTCTGTGTAGTGTCAACTGTCTAGTTGAAAACTTGAAGCATTTGTGATTTGATTGAGTGTTAATTGCTTGGTATTTTTTTGCTTATAATAGGTTCTAAATACATTGGGATGCATTCCAGAGGCCAGCATTGCCCAAGACCAGCATATCTTTCATCCTCCTTTCCGTGCGTAAGCCTGCTAAAGGGCAGAGTAGACTAAGGGATTATATGTTAAAAGCCAATAGTACAAATCCCCTTCATGGAAATTAACCAGCAAGCTAATGAGAAGTAAGCCACCAATACAATCGCTCTACGCCGTATTGAAAACCGTCCAACAGCTCTATCCCATGCCGTCTAACCTAATCAAGATTTTCGGTAAGAAACTCCCTACGCCATACTGCTGTTGATACACAGCCAGCACTCCAGCCCGTCCATTCGTCGCAGCTGTTTTCCCCTGGCATAACTCTACCTCCACGCATACCCCATCTCCCCGCCTTTTTTCACTGACTGCCGGACAGCTTTTCTTAGTTTCTGCTCACTTAATTGCATTACGCTATGAAAAGAGGATCTATAGGAGTTGTAAACTAACCTAACCTAACTTAACCTAACCTAATTCCCATGGTCAGGAAGATGTGCCAGGTGCACGGGAATTTATTTTGTCATTTTAACGACCTGCGCGGTGCGCCGTACTACGTTGGTAAAAAAATGCGCCATGCGCCGTACTTTAGAAAGCTAAAATAGTTCTACTATTTTAGTCGACAGACGACAATATACGCGAGTATATTGACTACGCGAGTTGAACTGACAATAATAAAATGTAAGACATGTCCGGGTTACTTCGGACTCTTCCGGTTGTCCGCCTTGTCGGATACGGAACGTA